CTTGTAGATTAATCAAATGCTTAGAGAAGAATCAAAGCCCTTTGTTTGTATTTGGGGCAGCAGGGAAGGAAAAAAAAACAAAAACAAAACACCCAATCCTGATGTAAGGCATTTGCCACAGAGACATAAAACCAAAATAGCAAAAGAAGCTTGATGGTAAAGGGGTGTACATGTTTCCATAGATCAGAGAATAGAGTACATTTACATTTAGGGAGGGGGCAGAGAGTAGGACAAGGTTCAGATTATGCAGGAGTCTTCAGGGAGTCTAAGAAGTCTGGAGTTTATCCTGAAGGGAAATGGGCGATGATGTAAGTGTAAATATTTTAGTGAGGCCAGGTGCAGTGGCTCACACCTGTAATCCCAGCACTTTGGGAGGCCAAGGCAGGTGGATCATGGAGTTCAAGACCAGCCTGGCCAGCATGGTGAAATCCCATCTCTACTAAAAATATGAAAACTAGCCAGGCATGGTGGCAGGCACCTGTATTCCCAGCCACTTGGGAGGCTGAAGCAGGAGAGTAGCTCGACCCCAGGAGGCAGAAGTTGCAGGGAACTGAGATTGTGCCTCTGCACTCCAGCCTGGGAGACAGACCGAGACTCCATCTCAAAAAAAAAAAAAAGATTTTAGTGACTTAGGTTTACATTGGAGAAAGTTTACTGTGACAACTGGGAAATATTGGGAGGAACAAGTAAAGCTTACGGTGGGAGAAATCTTTGGAAAAACTAGTCAAGAAATGTATGCGTAAAGTGTTAAGGAGTTGGACCATGTTGTAGCAGTGAGGGTAGAGAAAATGTGGTAGGTACAGTATTATTGATCTTAAGAAGATGCACCCAAGAAAACTGGGGATGATGAGTGGGAGAGCTTTAAAACGGCATGCTGGTTTATGAGTTAGAGGACTGCATGGCAATCTTGACCAATATAAGAGACATAGGGAGGAAGATACAGGAGGGGAGAGATGATAAGACTGGGCCCTGCCACACTGTGATGTTCAGGGATAATTGAATTTTAGGATGTAGAGTTTGGTTGTGTACAAGTGGTAAGGGGGTGAATCCCTTCCTCCCCATCATAAAAAGCCATAACTGAAACTCTGATAGCAAAAGACAGGTCAACAAAAGAAAAATATAACATTTATTACATGCACACATGTGTATGGGAGTCATACAAAATTCGAACACTCCGAAAAAGAAATAGATGGTTGACACTTAAATACACTATCACTGGGAAGCGGAAAGTGGGGGCATAAGAGTACATGATTTTCAGGGGACGTGAATAAACCCACAGACAGAAATTTAATTGTAAATGTTTCCCTTCGGAATTTGAACGATCCCAAGGAGTGCACATTTTCTTGTGAGAAAGCCCTCCCAGGGGTGGTTGTGGCTCTCTTTCTTTTTTTCTGTGATAGATACTGAGATTTCTGGGGAAAGATGGAAGTCAATTGCATTCTTCTTTGAGGGTCTGGTTTCTAGGTGGATGAGGGAACTTCAGAGAAGAGCCTCATTCTGTGCTTTGTGACAGACCGAGGATTGAGAGACTGAGGGTGAGGGGCTGAAGGGTGGGGGAGGAAGGTCTGAGAGACCTTGAGGTTGCTCCTTCAGTTTGGCATTTCAAAGTGCTATATTTTAGAGCATTAGTTTCTCAGCCTCAACTGCTGAGATACCCCATATTTTAAAGGTACCCCATATTTTGGAGTAGCTTCAACTGCTATTCAACTGAATATGTGCATCTTGGAGCCACCATCTCGAATTCCTTGCACTACACATCTGGATCTGCCCATAGAGGTGATATTCTCTAAATTCACAATATGGAGAGTTAGAACTCTGTCACAAGTCTTGAGTCATTCCTTTCACATTCAGTAGAGAGAACAGGCGAGTGAAAATAATCACATCTTCCTAAATCCAATTAGGAACTGTGAAAGCTTGACTAAGCAGAGATGAGTCTCTTTCTTCATTCTGCTTCTGAATTCTTGTGCCCGTGTGGTCATGGGAGTGGTGCAGATGAGAAGGGAAATGGGATTTTTCTTGATGTCTTCTGGTGTTAAATGAAGCACTAATAGTGAATGTTTATAAAAATTAAGAAAATGAAGTGTTTATAAAAATTAAAAAGCTCCTTGTTGCTCTCTGAAGAAAAGCAGCCCCTGGCTAAAATAGTTGGTAATTATTCTCATATTGAGTGACTAGCTGAATGTGATAATGACTTGATAGGTCACAAATGACCAAGCTTTCTGAGTTTTCCCCAGCAAAGAACCCCCCCCCCCGCCCCCAACTGCCATTTACAATAGGAGTGGAGGTGCATCAGAATGTGGTCTGCCTGGAGATTTCCAAGACCATCTATTGGGAAAGGATTAACAGAGAGTTGGGGAGTTTCTTGTTTGTATTTGTTATGCCATTAAAAAATTTCCTAGATTCTTCCTCCTCATGCTCAAGGCAACTGTGTTTCCAAATCTGTCAAGAATAAATTTGGATGAACTCCAGTGACCCTGTTCCCAGTCTCTGTAATTTGCTATACTTTTCTAAAACTTTACATTGTTAACTGGAAAGGCTTCCCAGAGAAGGTGATTCTTAAGCCACACCTTGAAAGAGGAAGGCATTTTCTAAGAGAAGAATGACACAGAGTCAGACTTGATCTCACCCTTCCCTGTACTTTCACCACACCATGCAAATGCTTCCATTCTGGTCCTGGGATCTGCACTGAATTTACTTGTACGACTGCCTGTATCCTTTATTCTTAGAAAAGTGCCTGGTATATAAGACCATGATATATTCTTATGGCATAAAGGAACGCAGAGACTGCAGTAGATTGGATGAAACATCAGCTTTTATCCAACATATCAGACAGAGTTGTAATATTACTCTTTCTTATGAAGTTTCTGTTTTAAAACATCACAATATAAATCTGAAAGAATTCAGAACTTAGAAAAGAATCTCCTGGGTAGAGTTAAACAATCTATTTTAATAATGAGCTAATAAATATGGATGAAAGAATGGATATTATTGCCTATGGTAATTAACTACGATAGGGAAAGTAGGAAGGGAGAAAGAGCTGGTCAGTAGAGCAGTGGCCCAATTCTGTCTCTATTTTCTTTGAGAAGACAAGGTTTTCCCAGTGGATTCCAGTGTCTGGAGGGCCAGAGGGATGGGTTGTCTTGAAAGCCTTCCCTAGAAATATTAGAGCCTCAAAATCAGAGAGTTAGGCACATTTGTCTCCTTCAAAGTGAGCAGCAGTGAGTTACCTAGCTAATGTTGGGTCCTTTCTCTGGTCTGAATGAGAGGGCTATCTTAGTTTCTGAGAAACATGTGGGGAGCCCAGGGCTACTTAACCCTGTGTATTTCCCCCAACTCCCTGCCCAAACTGATCCTTTTCTCTTCCACTGTAACAAGAAGTGGAGCTTGCTCAACATGAGCAACTTCAGACCAGGGAGAGCAGCTGATGAGGAGGAAGATGGAAGCTAACATACAGAGCCTTTATTCTGTACTAGTTACTACTAAGCATTTTATTTGCCTAAGGCATGACCAACATTGAACCAACAAAGTATCCCATGGAGGGAGGCATGCTTACTGCCCCTTTGACAGGTGAGGAAACACCGACTTACCACTTATCAAACTTCACTAGTGTGCTTAGGTGGAAAAAGTATCCCTTAGCGGTGGTGTGTGAGCCAGGGAATACATTTCAAAATTCTCCTTAGCAAAGTTTGCAGTTCAGCAGAAGAAGCTTTTCCTAATAGCTTATCAGACCAAGGGGCCTGAGATGAGAACTGGGGAACACGTGTAGGGGCTGAGGTGAGGCAGTAATTGTGAGGGACAGTCGGCATCACAGTGAAGCCAAGAGTAAGAGCTCTTTTAGTTGAATGGGCTCCAGACCAGTACTGAAACCTGGGGTTCAACAGCATAGTTTTCTTTACAAAACTTTTAGGAACTGTGTTTCTGGAAAGTTGGACAGTCCATTAAAAGGGCCTGGAATGGTGGATAATTTTTTTTTAGAAGAGAGTCTCACTCTATTACCAGACTGGAGTGCAATGGCATGATCTTGGCTCAATGCAACCTCTGCCTCCTGGGTTCAAGCGATTCTCCTGCCTCAGCCTCCTGAGTAGCTGGGACTACAGGTGTGAACCACCAAGCCAGCTAATTTTTTTATTTTTAATAGAGATGGGGTTTCACCATGTTGTCCAGGACAGTCTGGATCTCTTGCCCTCATGATCCACCTACCTCCACCTCCCAAAGTGCTGGGATTATAAACATAAGCCACTGCATACAACCTGGAATGAATGATTTTATTGTGAGGACAAGGAAAATACACATCAGATGGAGGATGCTGCTTGTTATATTTGAGTGAGGCAATTCTGAGGTAGAATGGGGGCTTTGGAGGCAACAAGAAAAAATGTGTTGTGTAATCGACTAAATATGATCTTTAATCAGGAAGACTCTGAACCCTGTGTCCTAACCTAACCTGATATTAGCAGTTTGACCTTGGATGAGTAATTACCCTTGCTGAACATTTCTTGGCTTGCTTTTACAATGAAGACCATGATACTGACATTGCATGGCTGCAGGGAGGATTCTATGGGATAATGTAGGTAAAATGTACAAAGTGTGTTCCTCCCTTCTTCAATTTCTCTCCTCTTGGAAACATCACCTTGGCTCGCAGAGCACGAAAGGAGGGTCATGATGCATACCCCAGTGGAGCCAAGGCAATTCTTTGCAGAGACCCATGATTGACACACTCAGCTCCTCCCAGGACTATCTGTAAGGAAAAGGGCAGGATGCTAAGATTTGTGCAATTTTAAGTTGGTGCACAACCAGCAGAGTTCCCTTTTTTAAGTGTTACTTTGGCCTTATTATTCACATGCCCAGGCCGGCATGACCTGGTACACCCAGGCTCTATTTCAATTGGAAAATAAAATACAGGGAAGCATGTGAAACATTTACCTGTTAAACACTTAAGCCCTTTCACCTTGGAAGGGAGTTAGTTGCACATTGAGACCAGTTTCCAGGGAAGAGGAGGAGATATCTGTTGGCCCTTTCCTGGGTCAGAGTCCAGGCTTGCTGACTGCCTCACAGCTGCTGCCACTGGGAGAAGCAATTTGTCAACTTTATACCTTTCTGCTTTATGGTCCGGTGACTTAATAGGATTCGACCTTCCCTCGATTCCATTTCAGTTGGGTCAGACACTGCACTTCAAATTAAAACTTGGGCTCTGAGACAGGTGATGAGGAGCTGGTGAGGTGTGTGGCACGTGTTCTGAGGGCTGTAGCTTAGGTACCCTCTAAGCTGGCATGGTCAACCCTGTTTTCATAATGACATGCAGCCTGAGACCCTGGCTGCTCATAATGCCATGACCATAGTGCCTGGAGGAAGGCACTGCACTCCCTGAGAGTGCAGGAAGTCTAGCCACCTGTCTACCCATTGAGAGGATGCTTGGATTTTCATGAGACAATGGAGCAAAACTCAAAAAAGGGAAGAGACAGTGTCACTGCAAAGCGTTCCTAAGATGACCCGGTTCACTCAGCCAGCATGCATTTGGTACCACTGGATGTCGGTCCTCATGGCAGACACCAAAGGGGATGGAAGGATTTCACCCATGCTGCCAAGAAACATGCAGTCTGAATGACAGGAGATCAAGGGCATGTATGACTATAATGTAAAGCAGAAAGTGGTAAGTCCAAGGGAGTGGGCTGCTATAGAGCCAAGCAAGGAGAAGACTCGGGGTGGAGGGGGTTGGGGAGCAGAGGGTAGGTGGGAACCCTGGAAGGCTTGATGATGGGGCACCCTTTGAACTGAACCTTTGCAGGCAAGAAAGACTTGGGGAAGCAGGCATAGAAAAGAAAGACTTCCCCTTTGGGGAAGGTCAGCCTGGGAAAGGGAGCGGCATAGGCAAAGGTGAAGAAGTTTGGTATCACACCATGTGCAGGAGACAGAGATAGCCTGGCCTGTCTCAGGCTAGAGCACTGCAGGGAGGCTGGGCCTGATAAACATGAATGTGTGGCCACCAGTAAAAGCTAAGGCTTCCCGAGAGATTGCTGTGGGCCACTGCTTTAAGCACCTTATATCTATAAAAAATATATATGCCTATAATATTTATATATTATATTATACATATTATAATTATATAATACAGTATATTTATATCAATATCATATACTTATAATAATATTAAGAAAACATGTAATATTATAGAATTATAATTATGTAATTATGTTACATTAAAAATTAATTGTGGTATAGTAATAACCATTATACAATATACTTTAATATATTATATAGTAACATATTATATTATATTTCCTATATTATGTAATATTATATAAGGTAATAGTATTATATATTAATGTTATTATCTAGTTTTATATATTTTATAGACATGTGCAAGGACACACATATGGACACCAGTTTGAGGAGAAAGAAATTATTTAAAAGTCACATCCCTATGAAGTATTACTATTACTCCCATTTTACTGATGATGAAACTTAGATCAAAAGATGAAAATGTAAGTCACATGTTTGATGATGCAGCTGGTAGGGAAAAGAGCTAGGATATGAGCCTGGAAGTTGGTTCTGAGTCTGTGCTTGAGACCCGCCTGCTATTCTGATTCCCACAGCAGGTATAGTAGGATCGCTTGCAGCTTGCTCATGAGTTGTCAAGGACAGAGGCAGTGAGGAGGTGGGGAAGGAAGGGTGATAGCTCCCAGAGCTGACCTGGTGAATGCGGTCCATGGGAAGCCCCTTCTGGGCAGTCTGATTGTGCAATGCAGTGGTTCCCTGGAGGATGAGTGGGCAGTGGCTGCCCTTGCTCTCCTGTCAGCTCTGAACCCTTATCAAGTGACCTTTGTGCTCACAGCAGCCTCTGAGCCACACAGTGTCTGTGCCCCATGTTCCTCCTTTTGTTACTATCAGGTGGTGAAGTTTTGGGCTTTTCTGTAAATGCAGCATCACCAAAAGCCCCAGATCAGGAGGGATCATCATGGGGTGTGAGTTAAAGGCAGGACAGGGATGGCTGGGGAGGAGTGTCCTGTGGGGGACCTGGAGGCCCACCATCTGCCTGCTGTGTCCACAGAAGCATCCCGAGGGCTGACTTCAAAAGAGCAGAGGTCGTTTTGCTGACTTCGTTTAGAATAATGGGCATCAGCATGCAGCATCTGTTCCATCTACTTCAGGCAGGTTTTCATCTCACCCAAGAACTACTAATAGCAAATAGCATGAGTTTCTCATGAAAGATGAACTAGGTCAACTTTTGAAACTCTCTACTTCAGGAATAAAATAAAAGGGTTTTGTTATAAATGCTGCAGCATTGCATGTATTAAAAAATCAAAACAAAAACTCTGGAAATAACTATAATGACATCAATAGAGAATAATTGAATCAATTGTGGTATTTTGGGGTGTCTGCCCTGTAGTACATCATGAAGTTACTTAAATAAATGAGAAAGATTAATATGCATTCATCTGGAAAGATGTCCTAATAAACATAAAGATTACAGTCAATGAAATCAAAAGAACTTGCAGAATAATGTATGTATGATGTTACTATTGTGTGTGTGTGTGTGTGTGTGTGTGAAAAATGGGAAGAAAAGAAGGAAAAAAAAGAAGCCTGTATATGTGTGCAGATCTGTAAACATAGCTAGTGTGAGAAACAGAATGATAAAAATGTTGTATGTTTATTATATTACGGGACTGATTTAAAGGAAAATTATTTTATCCTCTATACTCTTGTCTAATTTCAAAACAATATCATATATCTATTTTGTAATTAAAAACCCAATAAACTAAGCATTGTTTATGAATAAAATTGAATAAGAAAACAAAAGTAGAATTATGGAGTCCATTGAATGCCAAAAATTAGATTATGTTTTATATTCCACACCAGAATTTTCAAATGCAGATTTCATGTGACAAGATCCTATGAAATACTGCTAAAATAGTTTTTGGTAAAATAATATTTGGAATGCTGCCTAATATATTACACATGTGGAACTTCACAATCACATTACTTATCAATATCTTATCAAAGGCACTGAAAAGTCCTGCAGTAAAAAAAAACCTCAAGAGTATTAATCTAGTTTCCCAGATTTATTTTTTCATAGAACCTCTTTCTGCATTACATTTAGCCTGTGGAATGCTTAATAAAACCTTGGGAATAAAATCTTTGATTTTATGGCAATGGGAAGCTTCTAGAAGTTTTGAGGTAGTGAAGGAATAAAGCCTGAGTTGATCTTCATGGAAATGTTCAGCAAGTTCCAGGTGCTTGGAAATGAAGATACAGGGCCCAAGGGAAGCAGCTAGGAGAATGTTCTAGCAGTTCGGGAAGAGGCGAGAGTGGTCTGAAGGTGGGCAAACTATGATGGTGGAGAGTAGGGATGGCTGTGATATTGCAAAGATAATGCCACCAAGACTTGATAAATAAGGTGGCAAAGAAGCTTGAAGAAAAGGATAGAGCAAGCTTATATATTTGGTACCTGGATGTTCAGTAGTATTTTGAAATGGGGATTGCTAGAGGAGGAGCAGGAGTGGGGTCCAGGAGGAGGGTAATTAGGGGGTGAGTTTAAGGAGTTGGTGGAAGATCCAGTAAGCAACTGGATGTGCAAAACTGTAACACACAACTCTTCTGAAACCACATGAATCTATCACTTGTTAGGAAAGGGGGTATTGGCTTTTTTGTGCTAAATCTTGATCTGATCATCATGTTGTTACCATAAAGGGATGAGATAGGATTGGGGTCTCACTTATGGGAGACAGGCACCACAATGGAAGATTCTATCCCTCAGGGAGAAAATTGCATCTTGCTAAGTGAGCACTTGACAGGGCACAGGAAGAGAATTCTTGTATTTCTGAGTTCCATTATCTTCTCTCTGGACTTTGAGAGCAAAAACATCGAGTTGTGCACTCTTGGGTGGTATGATTTCAAAGGTGATCAGCTCACGATTGCAAGTCCAGTGCCAGTGTGTAGGCACCCTGCAAACTCCAGACATCAAGTCCTAGCTTCTAAGTTAGGCAATCTGATTGTCAACTTCCACACAATCCTCTGAGTTTATTCCTCTTTTGTTATTCCTAAGTACTTAATCAATCTGAGTTGAAGATTCCAGCTCTATTTCCATTGTGCCACAAAATTAAGAGGAGGGTCCTTTGTTCACATTCCAGACAGTGAGTTTACAGGGATGAGAACATCCCCTGAGGCCAGTGCAGAGTTGGCAATGGGAGCTGATGAGCTGCCTCTTCAAGGAGGGTGGGTATCAGGGGATCAGTATCACCCTGTGAGGTCCAGTCATGCCTCCTCACATGGGCATTCCCTCTCTATTCACTCTTGGAAGATGCAGGATTTTATTAAGGGAGAATCTGGCGTTCCTTACGAATGCATTCCTCTGGTCATTAACTATCTTTATGTCAAAATCGATCGACATCTCTAGGTGAGGAGAAAAGACCCTAAAGATTTCTCCCATCCTGTTCACAAAGCCACCAAGAAGCCCTTGTCTTGTCTGCTTCATGAGACAAACGATGTGCACCGGGAGGATAGACGATTGAGGTTTTCATTCATACCCGGTGCAGAGCTGTTTTGTGGCAGGAAGGAAGGTTACTCTCACACCATTAAAACAGAGACGGTCAAACCATCACAGCCAAGCCATGCCTCACACGCCCCCAGCTGCTGCATAAAGATGAAGATGCAGCCACACAAGATGGCAGGAAACCCCGGGAAGCACCGCTGAGGTCTTCAGTCTGAGGGGAAGTGGCTTTGTTGCAAGGCAAGATCAATGGGATTGATCTGAGGATGAGCTATCAGGTTGCCAGTAGGTCCTGTTCTTAGGATGAGAAGAATCTGGCTGAGCCTTTGGGGCTTTCTGGTAACTCTGAGTCTAAATCCAGTTGCATCTTTCCAGAGCTTTTCATCCTCTTCCTCATCCCCCACATGAAAATACGCAGTGGAATACATAGTTCATTTGAATCATATTGCTGTTCATAACCCCTGAAAGCATCCACTCCCTGGTGCTCTATTTTATTAAGAAAACATTTGTCTGAGACTGGAAACTGGTTTTGGTGAGATCATACAGGTTGTTTGTGACAGAGCCAGGTGTCCTGGCTTCGTGGTGAGTGTTAATCATGACATATGTCCTCCTCATTTGAATATGAGCACAGAGGGGCATACTGTGCCCTGGTGAAGCAAAGATGGAAATTAAATGTTCTTTGCTAGAGGCACAAACACTGCACTGGAGAAACTGTGTGTTTTAACCAGTCCTTACATGAGAGGACAGTCCCTGCTTCAGAACATAAAATCCCATGAAAGAAGGGCTTTTTGTGCTTTTGATCCACTGTGGCATCCTCAGGACCTGACACAGGACCCAGTACATAGTAGCTGATGCATAAATATTTTTTGAATGAATGATTAGAGGTTTGTACAGGATTGGCCAGGCATAGTGGCTCACACCTGTAATCCCAGCACTTTGGGAGAACAAGGCAGGTGGATCACCTGAGGTCAGGAGTTCAAGATCAGCCAGGCCAACGTGGTGAAACCCCGACTCTACTAAAAATACAAAAATTAGCCAGGCGTGATGATGTGTGCCTGTAATCCCAGCAACTTGGGAGGCTGAGGCAGGAGAATTGCTTGAACCTGGAAGGCAGAGGTTGCAGTCAGCCAAGATTAGAGCATTGCACTCTAGCCTGGGCAACA